CTTCTGAACTTCACGAAGAAATTGACGAAAATTAGAACATGTTCTAATTCGTCAAGAACTTGATGAATAAATTCATGAAGTTATTTGACAGCAGATTAGGTGCATTACACTTGTACAATTTCTTGATGAAGCGACTTCATGAATTAATTGATCAATAAATTGTCAATGTAAAACAGCTATAAAAGAGCAAAAGTAAGGGTAGTTTACTTTTTTTTCACATTTTTTTTATTTTCTGGACGTCCTGTATATAAAATGTCAATTTTGTTCATGGCCACTTTATTTTAAATACAAGCAAAACTTTTTATAAAGACTTTTTTGTAAAATGCAAAATAAAAAGGTGTTTCCTATCATTCACTCTAACCGTGAACATACTGTATGCAATTAATTCATTAATACATTTTTTTTTTATTTTGACTTCCAAAGTTGCGTCAGAAACAGAAGGGTAAGTTTCGATAGAAAACTAAAGGACTTATTTGAAAAAAAATCCTATTATCTGTTATATACTTACAAATAGTGCAAGAAATGTTTTGTCTGCCAGTTTTCCTTCCAGAGACATTATGTCTTCTAAGTTACCCAAAGGGAGATCAAATGCAAAAGGCTCTAGTGAGGATTTTTCCTTTTGACGCTGCCCCATTAATTCTTCAAGCATTAACTTGTGTTCACTCAAGATTTCAATAATTTTATCAAACTTTTCTTCAAGACGATCAACTTTTGCTGCTGAACGACCTAAATAAAAAATTTTCAAGTTTTAGACCTGGTACAATGTACCTTTAAGTTCAGTGTCGAAATGAATACTTAGTTGTGACATAATAGTCCATTATCCAATGATAATGTAATGATGACCATTAAAACACAAGCATGATAAGTAGGATATGAAACGACTATAGACAAGTTTCGTATATTTCATGCGAGTATTATTGGCCATTACATGAGAGTTGCATATACTATTTCTGCTACGACCATTTACAAGTTATTTTTAAAAGAATGCAATTTCCTTGTGACAGACCTGTAAAAATAACACTATTTTCACAGGTCTTCTTGGTTAAAAAAATAATAAGAAGAANTTTTGAGTTTTTCTAATTTTTTTTAAAAGAGTATATAAAAAATTCTCATATTTAAAAGAGCTGAATGAATCTAATGGTCCATGCTTTTTAACATCTTCACTAATGTGTACTAAATTGTGTACATTGTACGACACATTTTCTGGCTTATAAAACATACCATAATTTTTAACAAAGTTTATCAATAACTTCTTGGCATATTCATTATATTCCTGACACAAGTCCATAGATAACAGTCTGATTGCACAACATAATGTCAAAAAGTGTATATATTTTTGTTGTGGCAGAATGTCTTTGAGGGTGACCATGCCAAGGTACAGTAAAAACAGCCTAAATTCCGTGGCTTTCCACCTATCCACTTCTAGCAGAGACCTAGGTTTTCTTTCAAATTCCACAGGAATATAAGATTTTAAAGAAACAAAAAAAGTACTAATTTTATCTAGCACAACTTTCGGAAATCTTTGGGAAATATCACCTTTAACCCAAAATTGAAGAAGTCTTTTAGTCACTCCCAAGCATACAAGATGCATGTAATCCAGTACTACTTGAGATACCATACCTATATGTAGGTTTTCTAAAATTGACGTTCCCTTGTGATATTCTTCTTGTATTTTATTTTTAAATGACTCGTCTGTTCTTAAGGAATTATTTACTTCTGGAAAAGTTACACGTCTTTCGATATAATCACCCTCCTGAGTACACTTTGTGCATCCAAAATATCCTGTATGGTTTTTTACACAGATAAGAAAAGCTTTTGCTGGTGCATCACATATGATGCATTTTAATTTAACTTGTATATGACTTTCTTTCCATATTATTCCCTGGTTTAAAATTGTATAAGCTTCATGAACAAATGGTTCCATCAAAGAATTCGCATTGTCAGGTTTACTGTATCCATGATAAATACCTATTGCAAATGGTTCTGTATATGTATTTTTCAGTACAAGTGATCCAAGAATGGGCCATAGCTGACTGTTTGAACTCTTTGTAAGTGGAAGTCCATCTATATTTAAATTAAAAAATATAACTTCAGGTAATTCATTTACATTACAATATCTTTCCAATGATCTAATTATTCCTTTTTCTAAACCAATGTGGGAATAAAAACCTGGCGGTACTGATATCACAGTGGTAGCGATTGGTGTTCTTAAAAATGTTCTTGCATCTTTTGGAAATTTTAATTTTAATGTACCGTATATATCTTGATTTAAAATATGCAGAAGTTCGGTAAGAGCTGATAGAGTTATATTATTTTTAATTGCCCAAAATCGGATTTTGTTTGTGATTTCGCAATTATTAGTACTTAAATTTGGAACGTTTTCATTTATAGGTGGTATTGACTTCTCTCGAGGCTTTACTATATGTTCGTCAACCTCACCACTGAGAGAGCAGTCATGTATGTCCGAGAATGGAACCTCTATTTTATCGACATTATCAATTTCCATACTATCAATATTATTTTCAAAAATGATCATTGGAATAACTGGTTTTCCAAATATTGGAGATGTTTTATTGTTAACTTGTGTACATAAACCTGTAGCAGCAGAGACGGTAGCTGTTTTTGTGGAAATATGTTTCAAGTAAAGGGACTTTTGTTTTAATAGCAACCTTCTTTTGTGTCTCTGGGAAATATGTTTAAGAGATTTATATTTACTCTCCATATTATACACTCGAGTATAAACTCTGTAATGCAGAGAAAAAAATGTGTGAAAGGATAAAAAATTTGATTAGCATTAAGGTATATATGCACTGCATATTAAATAATAAATACAATAATAAATGAAATAATCAGTAAAACTAATAAGCTCAAATCAAAGTGTACATTAATGTTCATATAGGTAGTCAGATCTGTGTAATCACATTTATTATGATAAAGTACCTAGGTAGTTTTTAGGTACCTGCCTTTATATGTACATTGCTTTTTGAAATCCAGCCCATAAATAACCTATCTAATTTATTAAAAAGCTTGCTTTCAAATAAATTGGTACTTACCTGGTACTTACGCAAAAGGCGCAATGGCGCGATGAACATAACCATAATAATTACCATAACACAGAACACCTGTGGAGTGGACAGAAGCAGAAGACAGAACAGTAGTACCATCAGACAGAAGAATATCACAGAATTGAAAAAAGACAACGTATAATAAGGCTCATAAGATATTAATGAAAAGTTGACCAATGAAATTTCGATATATTTTTATGACGAAGATTCAACAAACAAAAATTCAATAAAACGGCAACAAATTTTTAACAAATGTTAAATGTAATAATGACACCAGTTAAATGTTGCTTTTTAAATTGTCCGAAAAATGCACCCGACATGAATCTCAAGTCTCAAGTCAACGCAGAGCGGTTCTATTTAAAAGAATATTTTGAAAGTATTAGCAACTACTTTTAGAGCTCTCGAATTATATTTTACCATATGTGAATAGTTAAGTAAATTATTATTTATTTATAAGCACAACAAAAATGCTTCTTATTAGTAATAATAAAAAAACATATAGATGATGTCTAACTTTGTTCTGTGAAGAAGATGTTTAACTGAAAAGTTTTTTAAATATCTTAAAAACATCTCATAGTAACTCCATTTTTAGCATAACTTTATACATTAACTATCTTAAGATAAAGTATTGAAGAAGTTTTATACAAATCGCATAAAATACATATAAAGCCCCTGCATTCTAGAGTTCTCCAGAATGTATGTAACCTCGCATGTTTACTGGGTTCACAAAATCTTACTCTTAAGGTGGGTAGTCTGTAGGCAGCATTCCATAGACAAGTAATTTGTTCACTTAGGTCACTAAGGATAGAGGCAAAACAAAAACCTACACTTACATTCTTCTTACAGTCTACCTTATACTCTTCAATTGCTGCAACTTTAACAAATTTCCTTTATCTTATATTCTCTAGTACTTTTATTATATTTTTTTTAAGAAATCGATATATTTAAATGTACTTATCTGGATATATTTTTTTGTGATACACCTTGTACTTGTATATAAATATACACTTTCGCGACGTCTTAAACTGTAGCTACAAACAAATCTTAGAAACAAATAAATTCGGGACGGTCGAGTTAGTCTAGGAGAATTAAAGTTTTTCTTACACAAAATAAAATAATAGAAGTGGTGCACAACATATACAGGGTGTAACATTATGTGTTAGGAGTAATTATTAACAGATCTACCAGAATATTTAAGAGTAGGTATAAGCGGATATGCGAGAACATTATCAAAAAGTATTTTGAGGCGCATTAAATCCGTTTTATAAGTTTTTGTCCGCTTTTATTACTGCTGCCGTGACGGTCGCATTGTGCCAGGTTAGGTTTTACAGTGGACCAGTTTCCAGTGCCGTGCAGAAGTATTTTTAAATCATTTTCGAACTGCCCTTTTTTATTTTTTCTTTACAAAATTGTATTTGTAAGAGTCCCGGTGTACATCCAGATTTTTTTTTGGATTAGTTCTGAATCACCCTTTATATGTAATAGATTTATCTAAAACTTACTTCACTAGTTGATTTAATTTTTTCATTTTGCATATAATTTTATTAATGTATCGTACACAAAGTTTCATTGTTTCAGAACAAAATGATGATTGATATAGAATGCACAAATTTTTAAATATTTAGGTAGGTATTCAAAATAAAAAGTCAGTTCTATTATCTTCAATCTCTTGGCCAATTTGTTGGTTCTGGCTTTATTACAGTTGTAAGTATTATATGCAGCAAAAGATAACTTGGCCAGTTTTTTGCGTAATTTATTTTTTTAAAAATTGGTAAATGAGAAACAGTTTTTAGGTAACATCAAATGTTATGTAGGTATTAGTAATATTTATTTGATTTTAGACTAGCATAACTTTATAGGCATGTGTATTACATTTTTATATTCAACACAATAGCAATCTCTCTTATCAGCTATAGAACTGAAACTGCTGCTTTTAATATGGCGTATTTGTTGTGTCCGCAAACTCCTTTGAAATCATCTAGAGTTAAATCATCCACGGCAATTCCACCTAGGCCTTTGCTTTTAACATACGCAGCTTTGTTTGTGGCAGATTCTGGATCCTCATAGCCAATCCAGATGCCTCCTTCGTCATTTTCATCGGGCAAACGATAAGCGTACGGCCCTAAAAAACAAAAATATTAAAGTATTTGAACGAAACAATAATAGTACGATATAAATCAGTAAAGATATCCACCATTCCACCTTACTATAAAAACATTTTCAGGAGATAAAGAATTGTGCCTTTGTCTAAGTCATCCATATTGAAAAAATTCTTCTGAAAATTGTTGTTTTTCAACGCTTTCATGATACTGCTGCAATTTGAGTTATACTGTTATATTTTCATTTCATATTATGCACGTTCTACTGTGGTGATAAATCAAATCACAAATGGTCTATGACCTTTTGATATTACCACAGCCTAGATAGACTACCATTTCAATATTTTTATTGTTCCCAGATTCAGGAACTTTCCACTGTGATTAAATTTAAATCGAAAAATATTTCTTTCAAATATAAAAACTTATGTTTTGGACTCGGACACATGTAAACAACTATAGAACAAATTTCTAGGTAGCGGACGATGATTATGCACTAAAGACGTTTAAAATATTTGCCTCTTTCTATAAATGATGGATGTCTCGTAACAAATCTCACACTATAATGGCGCAACAACCAATTAGATTTCGCAGTCCTGTTGACACGAACTGGTGCGCCAGTGGCGTATATTGCGTTAGGTAGTATAATAATATATAAACATAGATAATAAAAGTACCAATTACCAACAGTACACAGATATAAAAAAGTATAATCTTTTTATATAAGAAAAAGTTACCCATCTACAATATGTCATTAATACAGATCGGAAATGTTAGGGAGGCTGCAATGTGGTACAGGGTTGACAGTAGGCCGGGTTCTATTTTATGTAATTTTATTCAAACAAAAACTGACACAACCGTTGCCTTCTTATAACTGCACTCTTTAGCATTATAAGAATACGTACCTACGTATTTACATGTCTCTGCCTCTGATCTGAAGGTTAAGAGTCAAAATGCCTTAGTCAAATCGTAAAAATTTCCACATTGTTTGATTCGAAATTGTTTAAAATAATTGTAGTCAATTGGTTAATAGCTAAAGTTGTTGACCTTTTGTTCCTAAAACCGTATTGACTAGAATGGAATAAATTATTGTTTTCAAAATACTCTGCAATTTGCATTTTTAAGGCAGTTTCGAAAACCTTTGCCAGAACGGGAACAAGAGATATTGGTCGGTTGATAGATACATCAACTTTCTCACCTTTCTTAAAAACAGGAATAACCTTGGATAACTTGAAAGCTGTAGGAAATAAGTTGGAGCTAATACATTGATTAATTAGTTTAAATAGTGGAAAAATTATAATGTTCTTAAGAGTTTCCAAGATTGGAATATTCAAATCGTAAGCATCTTTGCTTTTTTTTACTTTTAAGTTATTTAGAATAGTCCATCCTTCATAAAGACAACTCTCTGAATTTAAAAGTCGTTTGTGACCTCGGGGCAATCAAAAACTCGGAAGGTAACTTGTTGGGAAGCGGGAGCTCACTCAAAAGACGCTCTGCAATATTGGAAAAATAAGTATTAAAGTCATTAGCGTTTAATGAATCGCTTACAGGTGAACTGCGATCATTTTTATTTTTTATGAGGTTCCACATTGCTGCTTGTTTATTAGTAGATGTATTTATATGTATAGTTGTCATTGGCGCTTTTTTTGGCTTTAGGTAATTCCAGACAATACTTATTGCGATAGGAATTGAAGGTTTCCCTGGACATGGGGGTTGTATGCTGACAATGCACGTCTCTTAAGAAATTTAATTTTTTTACTAGTCAAAGAAGACCAATAATAAACCTAAATCATGTACCAAATTTGGTTCTTTACAGTAAAGTTTTCCAGAGATATTATTATTTTTCGAAATTTAGGGCTAATAACTTCTCAGGGGTGCAACTTTGTATATAGGTAAGTTTGGTTAAATTACAATATTTTGGACACCCCTACATGCATCTGCCCTGTGTCGGTTCTTATGCGGGACACCCTGTATTTATGGGTGTATTAAACATAGTTTTGATAACAATTTACACACAAGATGAACATTTTAATAGCATATACCTTCATTATTCAGTTTGTGCGTGCCACAAATATTGTAATAAATTATCATATCTTTTCCATGTTTTCTAGAACTTAGCGTTTTTTACATGTGCTTACATTTGTCAACAAAGAAAAATTATATATTTTTTTATATGAGTCAGGGTCACCTTTTATAATAACACTTCTTTTATACCGAAAACATGTTGAGACAAATGATGCAGGTTACGGAAATAAGAAATGCCATCCTTACTCTTTCACAAAACTTGAATATTTTGCAATATGTATATGTACCTATTGACATGACGGATGTTTTTTTACACTAATTGATGTAGTTACATTAAATAGACTAAACAGCGGAACACAATTACCCGTTTTCGTTGGATGGTGTAAATTATTAATTTTTAATATTACGAGTATCTCTTTTATGGCATATGACGCCTTGCCCTTACATTAATCTGTTTTCAAAGCTAAATATAATAAAACATACAGACATGATATAAAAATTTCTCTCCCCGCCAACCATTTTCCGTATCCTACATGTCATATCTGAATTACAAACATATCTCAAATTGTAATTATACTGACCCCTTCTTTTGGTGGGATCCGTGACTTTTTTGAACTGAGTTGGAGAAGACCCGCCTTTGACGCCTGATGGTTGCTCGACTTTGGTACAAATTTCGGGATAGCTGAGAAGTCCAGCTTCTTTGGTGAGTGGGCCAGGATCTCCTGGACCTTCAAGGTCAGTTAGAGGAATCGAGTCAACTGATGAGGTGTCACTATCCAATTTCCAGGTTCTGCCATATGTGGGGATGCCTAGTACCAGCTTATTGGCTGGAGCGCCATTGCTCGTCCTATGTTAAAGATATATTACGTTATTTGGGTTGCCAAGTTTGAACACAAAAATATAGTGTCTATAGGAAGAACAGAAACTTTATGAGGAATTCCTCAGTTAAAAACTTTTATATGAACGTTGATCCCGAAATGTACCTTTCTGAGATAAAGGTTTTAACTTTTTTGATATTTCAAGAACGCATTCACCAAATTTGGACAGTAATATATAGATTTAAATTAAAAAAAAAATACACACACAGTAATCTGTTTCTTAAAGAAACTACACTTCTTTTATTTGCATTTGCAACTGTGCTAAACCTAATTTTCAGGGTTTTCTGTTATTTCCAGTGGCGGCTCGTGACATTGAGAATAGGTGAAGCATATTCACTGATTGACTAAAAAGGAAAAAAAAACGGTGCGGGCGAAAATTTTCAAGGTCAAACGGATTTATAAGAATCTGGAAATTTTTAGTTGTATTTGCAATAATTACCGAAAATCTGACGTTCACGAGGAAGATTTTCATTTAGATTTTATAAAAAATAGAAATATTAGTTTGGCTTGTGGATTTCTGCGAACATTAACGCACACCATATATGTATGTTCCAAAGAAGATTTGTGGTTACGACAGCACCGCGTGACGTTCCCAAAATTGTTAAATCTCTCCTTATTCCACACGCCCGAGGTTTCACCCACAATTAAACACGCCATACAGAAAATATATTTTTAAATAAACCCTTCCACATAACCACTTATACTCCGAATACCATTCATTCCGAAACTTTCGAACGTACACATTGTCTTTTGACTTCCCCTTTTTTCATATCGAGAGAATAAGGCACAGGTCTCTCGCAATTTAAAAAATCTTTTTTGTCCTCAATTTTCCATCAGGAAAATGACATTACCAATAAAACACATACTGGATCAGACATAGGAAATATTTCTACAATTATTATACAAAACAAATATAACAAAGAACCGTTATAATCGTGCACTGGGCGAAGCGTATCGTATAATATATATCTTTAAAGGCAGACGCTGCCGCGATGGGCGATTACAATCCTGCTTCAATTTCCGTGTCACTCGTCCCCCCAAGCACGCCGTAGTTTATTTCCGTGTTGTCCGCCACGTTGCCATGACAACCGCCGTAAACAACTCTACGACGAGAAACGGAATATAGACTGATTTCGATCCGCGTCACTTGCTTATACTATAACATTGCGTGGTCTGAGGTTGGTGTTCGCGCTCAACGAAAGCAATGTTTTTTTAGAAGGCGTTCATCGCGCAACTATTCTGTTTATTTCTGCGAATTAAACAAACAAACACATTTTCAATATAGAATTATAACTAAATTATAAAATTTATATAAAATTAAAAATAATTTAAATTGCACAATCATACGGAAATTTTAGGTCACCTGGCGAGCCGGCACTGTTTATTTCTTTAATTTTTTCCTCCAATATCAATATTAAACTGGACCTGGCAGGATATATACTTATTTTTTTAATGTTATATTGTGTTTATATATTATTATTTTATGTTATCCTTGCTCAGAATAGTTATTTCTTTGTATTAGCCTATTAATTAAAATTGTCTTGGAAGACTATAGTTTCTATACTACTAAAAAGAAAGTGCGTACATTTTTCTGCTATTTACTTTAAACAAACTAAAAAATAGAAAGATTTTTACAAAAATGTTAATACTTATCGCATTTTTGTTACAATAAATGCATGATAATAAAATTCGATTTTCTCAAAAACGGTACAAGATATTGACTGATATACGGTAAGTATACCTTTTTTTTAGTAAAATAAGAAAGGAATCGAACTATAAAAGAAAAATGCCAAATTTGGCAACGCTGTCAAAGATGTATAAATTTAAATGGATAATTTCGCCTGCTCCTGTATAATCCATGCATATTGAATGTCAGTTTAAACTAAGATATGAACACTACCATGAGTTACTTTAATTGCCCAAACATTCTTGTCATGGTGACGACTTAGAAGTTATAATTGGAATTTGCTTTTCAACTTCTTTCTTTGAAGGCGAATAACTCCATAACGAAGCCTGATAGGAAAAAAAAATATATGAAGTGCTACAACTATTTTGATCTCCCCTGTATACCCCTTTATTTTTTACATGACCTTTCTGGACACTCTGTATATATTTTTTAAATGTACTGTTTTAATAAAGATTATACAAAGTAAGTACAAGTTATGCTTTAAGAAAAGGACCGACACTCCTACGTCTATAGTACAGCACTGGTAATAGCAATTTATATGGTTGACATTTCTTCACGTTTCAAGAGACATATCGCTCTTTCTTCAGAAGAAACTTTGAAACTGGGGATTTTTTCTGGCGACGACCATAAATTGAAATAAGTTCAACTGGTTGAGGGTCCAGAACTTCCTGGAATTTGGAAGCGATACGTGCGTAAAAATTTAGGATCGGAATCACAAGGTCACAAACCAGTGACTTCAAATAAAGCAAACCGAAGTGTACATGTACACACAAGAAATATAATAATAATACCGGCTAGAGGACTTAATCTCAATTTCAGAGTGTTTTCTGAAGTAGAGAACGATATGTTTCTCAAATCATTAAAAAGTCCAAACCGACGACGTGGAACCAGCCCGGGAATTGTTCAACTATGGGTAACAAGCCTCCAAACCAGGCAGAAAGTCTTTCCTTATTTTCAACTTAGGAATATTCCCTTAAAGTTGCATGCATTTCCCTGTGAGATATTTTATTTGTAAATCACTACTAATTGATTTAATATCATTTACCAGTATTTCACCCAAGAATCAACGTTCTCATCATTCCTTCTGTCAATGAGCTCGTACAGAGGAGAAGGAAAATCGGCCAATTTTTCATTACGATCTGGAGTGTAGAAGTCGAAAGCATGGAGAACAATCAAGTCCAAAAAGGGGGCCAGCGCTCTGGGATCGTAATAAACTAAAAATAAAGAACCGCACAAAATTAGTAAGCACCAATGTAATTTGGATTTGTTAAAGAGGTACCTGTGCTGTTGACATTTGGAAGTACCGTGAGCGAAACCAGTAGATTGTCCGGTCTAAAAGCTCCTTTGAGTTCTTTAACAAGTGATACAAATTGTTCTCTGTGTTGTTCAGCGTTTTCATCTATTACATTTTCACCAGTAATTTTATGTTTAAGGCCACTCCAGAAAGCACCTAAAATGGATAATAAAATTGCATGAGGAATTCGGAAACATTGTGTTATTGGTTTTAGAAATTAAATATTGAAAAAAGTGATTTAATGTATTGTTTAAAAACTTGAATAAATATTGCGGAATTTGTTAATAATTTTGAATGAAAATATATGACTTTGTGTTTTCGGTAATTATAAATTTTATGAATTCTTATTGCTCAACTGTTCAAGGGTATAACTAAAATTACTTATATGTCACTGGTGCAAAATCATTGAATAATAATAATTAAATAGCCGAACTTACCAAATCCACTCTTGATTTTCTTTGGTTTAGTTTCAGGAAATTCCCACGCCAAATCGACACCATCAAATCCAAAACCTTTGACCAAAGTATGAGCGGAATTGACAAAAGCTAAACGATGAGCTGATGATTCCAACTGAAAATATTAATACAGTGTTTATCTACTAAAATGCCATATCTTGTAAGAATGTTTTATTTGTATTTCTGTGGTGTATTATAATTAACCTTCTTTAGGATTTGCTTAGGAAAATGTTAATCCTCAACACTCGGGCTTAACAATTAAATCGTTTGAACCAATTTTTCAATATTTTAGCAGTCAGAATAGGTAAAACAATTGTTTTCATTCTTCAGCGCAGGATAATACTTTTTATTATAATCTTATAAACCAAGGCCTCTCTGTATACTTTATCTACTATTTTATATGGAATATTGAAAGTAAACGATTCATTAACAGAAACAGTGCATTTGATTTTTTTATTACACCATCTTCTACTTTAGAAGTTACAATGAAATTTTGATAACATATTTTCTTAACAGCTTTTTAAAATTATTTTGGAAATGAGAATGATCAGCGAAATCAGGATTACAATTATTGAGTGAAACTAACACGCAACTAATACAAGGTACGATGTTTCTGAGGATAAAGACAAAAAAGAAACTACTGTTATATCAAACTGAATAAGTATAAACAATGAAATGAGACATACAGGCACACAAAAAAGTGGGCTGTTTGTCTTAGGAAATGCTTCATCTCCCTAGCGTTTTTAATTTCCACAAACTACCCCTGAAACATAAAATCCGCCAAAACTCTACTACTACCACTTTAGTAGGTCTTTTTCTAGGGCACATCCTTGGAAATGAGTTGTCAGGCTCATGCATGCATATTTTTAGTATCCTAAATCTCAATCAATCTTTCCGACCCCTCAGGACTGCAAGTACCAGAAAACTACCCTTAAAGTCACCGCATCATATGCTCATTGCATGTTTTGGGAATTTAAAGACTCAATAAATCCTTGCAATAGTTTAGCCTCGCGTAAACTCCAGAAAACCACCCTTCGAATTTAAGAATCACAAGGAGTGGCGCGAGCTTATTTACTAGGGCGGAAACTTCTTCCTAAACCACATACAGAGTATATTCGTTTTTCAACCTTGCAATACTTGATGGATATCAGAAACTCGAGACTGGCCGAGGATAAAAGAGTGACACAGAAATTAAAAAGTAGTATATTGATTTACTTAAACTGTTAGGTGTAGTTTGTAATTGAATCGATTTTCTCGATATTTATTCATAACTGCCTTCAGATAATTTAGGTGTACCATGATTGCAAATAGATTACAGGGATCAAGAACTGCAGTGTTACAATACTGATCCGTTTTGTATATACCTACCCATTGGGTGAGTGGATAATCGTGCGTGTGGTATGTGTGGGTTAGGAATTTAGGTTCATGACCTATTAAATAAGCTCACATCACTCGTTTGCTCTGTTTCGCATGGAAAATCAAAATACATAAGGTTGTATGGGTCTTATTCGTGAAACACAAAGTTCTTTCCTTTAAGAAAGATGTTGAACGAATCTTACTATGCAAATAAAACAATCAGTAATAAAAACATTCAATATGTTTTCCTAGTACATAATATATTGATACTGATATTTGCAACTTACGACTTGTCTGTATTTCAAATTTTTCTCGCTGTCTTCTCCGCTGACGTCCTCGTTTCCTCCCACAGACAGCAGTACTTTTAATCTAGGATATTTGCGTTTTAGGTCTGTTACATGCCTGTAATTGTCTTTAATAACGTCAAATTGTTCATTTAGGGGCACCAATTTCAACGTGTCGTCGTTAATCGCTGCGTAGCCGTAAATTAAGTGGGTGCAATATTGTAAGGCTGGTTCGAGAGCATTTAAGTCAAATTTTCCTTGTCCTGAAAGAAAAAAATATACATTTACAAAATATTGACGCGCTAAGTCTTTTTTGTTCTGTACACTTTATCAAATGCCCTTAATAACACTCAGTACATATATCGAATTAAACAACGAATAATTACACTGTACGAAGTCTATCCAGAAAATAATCGAACTTTTTGAATTACGCGCTAATGGCCTTATTTAGTGACATGTGATTGGCAACATTGCGTTCCGCATATTTTGATTCATTTTGTGTTGCGTTGTTTGTGTTTAAGTGTTACTGACGATATTTGAAATGTGCGATTTTCTGGAACAACGATGCAACGAACATTTTGCATGAGACTGGAGAAAACTTTCAATATTATCAGAGTTACATAGCCATAAAATTTTTTGAAATTAATATTTGCCATAAATTACTCCTCAGTTAATTGATAGGTATATTTTCTAAATTTGGTACATTTATAATACTGCATCTAATGAAAAAGGCCAAAGAGCTTAAATGGTCCTTATTGATTGGATAATTAATCACAAGCTTTTTCATTCGAGTGTAAATTAATAACTTAGAGAATTTGGATATAAGTGGTTTTCTTGGTAAAATATTTTAAAGATGTTGTTAAGTTAATTACTTCTTCAAAAAATTGCAAATAAAAAAGTTATGACCAATTTTGTCATTTGCCATTTTCCTTGGGAGCTACATAATATTGATGATTTCTTCTAGATATATGTAGTTTGTTACTACTTACCAAAAATAAGATTACCAAATAAATAAAATATTGATAAACTAAAAAATCTATAGTAAAATATTAATTTAAAAAATAACTTTAATCTAAGCAACTTTATTTCACCTGATTGACTGTAGATTGCAATATTCATATAATGTCGATATCTATAATATTAAAAAAACTACTGAAAGGAACATGACTTAGGTATTTATATTTTTGAAATCAAAATAACTTGCAGATTTCAAAAATATTAAAAAATTGAGGATGTTCCATTTAAAAAACACATAACATATATTTAGCAGGTTCGGCGGGAAACTGTAGGTTAAAATTCCAACCAAAATGGACCACCCTGTATGCCTTTACAAGACAATGCTATACTTATGTATTTAATTGTTGGTGACTAACTTAATGATTTAACTTTCATTTTTAAATGGGAAGTTTCCATTTACATATGTTATGCTAATAGTAAACGTTATTATATTATTATATATTATTACTATATCACTGCTCTAAATAAACAATTTAAATCAGAATCTACATTGTTTAACTGATCAGAATGCTCGATTACGACTTGTTGTCACTAACGGATGACTAACTTTTTATTAACATAAAGGTAAAATGGATGTGTAGGCCCGTGAAACCAAAATGCATTAATGAATAATAATCTGTTTAACTTTGTTACATAAAATAACATACAGTATATATATGCGTCATTTCCAGGGTTCCAAGAAGTGATATAGTAATAGAAATAATATTGTAATTTAGCGGCTTTTTATGTCATAACATGCTAATAAGTTCACGCAAAAATTGTAGCTATTGTTGGAAATAACTATGATATACGTATTAAATTCCATTTCATTTTCGTATAATTCCTATTGATTTTTGTAAAATACAATTTCACTGGCATTAAAACCGAGGGCTGATATAGGTATGTTTATTCGTACATAAAGACATCTGATATTTTTTAGAACATAATTTCCGATCCTATATAGGTAACTGTTCCAGTAAATAATTAAGTAAAGTTTACTTCGAATAATGATTTCTAATTGTAAGTAAATTTCTCACTTATCTTTATTTCAAATAAAAAATGATTACACAGGCACACCATTTTTTTTTCAAATACTTTTCAACAGAGTATGATACCCCTATATTTTGACCTGCTGAAGATGATGGGGCCATCAGAAATGCTCCCTAACCTCAAAAATAGCTCAAAATCACTGGAAAACTCGATTTCTTGTTAAAATAGCTAGAGATTTTGAAATTAAAGTACACTGACGTATTAATAGGATCAAAATAAAATTTTTTATTCTCGCACTTTTTTCTCTAAAATGCGTCATTGTGGAGTTATAGCCATTTTAAACGAACTTCAAGCATTATTAAAATGTCTAGATATGACTTAAGAATGTATTTTAGAGAAAAAAAATTCAAGAATAAGATTTTATTATGACTCATTTAACACGCCCATTTAATTTTAAATTATCGGTATTCCCGGATTTCTGTTTGCTTTATTTTTTTCTTTTCGTTAGGTTTATATTCCTTTTTATAAGTTTCCGGTTTGTATTAATTGGGCCAAAATACAACTTTTTTAGAGAAAAAAGTGCAGGAGGTTTTTATTTTGACCCTATTAACACGTCTGTGTACTTTCATTTCAAAATCTTTATTATTTTAACAAAAAATCGCGATTTCCACTGATTTTGAGCAATTTTTTCAGGTTACGGAAAAATCCTGACGTGATTGAGCATTTCTGATGGCTGCATCGTTTTCAGCGCGTCAAAATACCCCGTTAAAAAGTAAATTAGTAAATTTTTTGTGCCTGTGTTATTTAAAAATATGCAGATGCGGTTTTTGAGTACTAATATTTCTATACCTACAAATTTTAAAAAAAAAGGTCAAGTAATAATAATAGGTATACATTTTTAGGATTCAAATTTCAAAATTCAAATAAATAAATCTTATAAAATTTAAGAAAAAACATTACTTTTCCTGAAAATATTGGTATGAGTAATTTTTTTCTGAAAGTATTTATCCAGATAGTAAAAAGCTGATTATAAATAAAACAATCTAAACTCATTTCGAAGAATTGTTTATCCTCATAATTCAAATTAAAACATATTTTCCACTTATTTTGCTGTCCAATCCTATTAATTAATTATTCAATATATCATCAAAAACAAATACAAATATGATATATTATTTATATATCACTACTAATAATAAGTCACCCATATTATAATATAGATATTTATATTTTGTAACTGATTAGTGATTACGAATGTAAAAACTAATTTATCTCATTTTCTAATTTAATAAAACTAATTTAGTTATCTCAATTTCTCTTATATAACGTTAGAACACATGCTAAAGGTAAAAGAATTCATTTTTGTTTTTTTTTTTTTTTGCAATTTGAACTGAAGCTAGCATATACTTTTACCACAACCAAATATTTTTAAATTGATTTACACAATTTACTTACAAAAACACAAAATATGAAGAATATGTGACGTGTTTTACTTAAAAGTAGGTAATTCAGTATTCTATTGACACTGACAAACAGAAACGGAACATATAACAGAGGACACAAATGGATGTCAATGAAATTTATATTTATTTTAACAGTGGGACCAAGGTTAAAGGTGTAGCCAATGTTATTAAATTTTATTATAGAAGCAGCTTATGCTACATTAAGTAGCTACATACCTAATTATATTTTTGAAAGAAAAATCTTGATTTGTAAAAATTTTATGGACCAATATGTATTTAAGGAGGAATTTAAAAAAATCATACCTATACCTATATCTAAAATTTTTGAATTTTTTATTTCAAAAACTTAAGGCCAGACATACACTCCATACAGTCCATTTAAGATAAGTTTGCAATGACGTCACAGTGTGAGAAGGTACAGAGTAGCTAGGATGTAAATTTTTTAAAGATATTTAAGGAAATTAATTTTTGCTATCGAATCCAGTTTATTAGAAATGTAACCTAGAACAACAATTTATTTAAATAATTTAGGAAACAGTCAAAAAAATTGTTAGAATTGTGTCAAATATTGTCAATAATATTTGAAATACAGTTCATAGTTGGTGTAACAATTACAACTTACGTTTCTTAGATTCTACATTCCTGTTCAAAATTGTCTATTAAGGATCCCCCCCTAATTAATTTTAATGATTTTAATTCAGTGCATTGTCAACCATTGATTTTACAAGCTACGCTATCAATCATTAGATATACAGGACAATACAGGACGTCTAATTGTGGATATTGCCTACAACTTTAAGGAAATTAGGCCGTCTGCGGCCAGGGAGCAACGCGATCAACGTCATCCAGATCTTAGAAAGCGTGCCTTAAAGAGAGGCAAGTTTTTGGTATAATAGGGTAATACAAGTATTATAATATGTAATAAATGATAATAACAAATGAGTAATTTTAGGATGTCGTTCCCCACACGGCACATGACGTCCCTGGGATATCCTCATTTAGTCCTATATATATATATCCTAATCGGGGATCTCATTCCTCAGGATATCCTCATGAATAAGACAAGTAGATCCTATCAATATCCTAGTTGGGGATATCCCAGGTAAATCCATACAGGATGTCCTGGAAATATCCTATGAAGATATTAAAAGCCGAACAATCTCCAATTTTAGGATATCCTAGGCAAATTCTAGAGTGATCCCATCCTGGGATGGTTCTTGGCTTGGCACAGTGCATGGTACATGCGCAGTATGATATATTGACGTATGACCCGTATCTCGCCATGTTCTGTGTTTTCTTTGTTTTATAAGTACGAAGTGCGTCACTCAATGACGTTTTTATTAATTTGAAAAGTGGAAAGTGAAATTTAAAGCTTGTTAAAATAGTTAAGTGAAGTGCATCAACCAGCTGCTGGTAGAAGTAAGTATTTAAACTACCTTTGGTATTAAGGTATTAATATCGTAGAATAAACATATAGGTTAGAATCGTATATAGTATTAACTAATTTTGTTCTTACTGTTTGTATCATGCAATAATTAATGCTAAAGAACGCATTAAAAAATACATGTTTTCAAATATTTTTTTATATAGAGCCTAATACCATTCAAAAATTAGTATAGTATATAGTAGTAGATGTGTATATGTGGTACCACCAAATTTACATAATATGTTCAAATCTATAATTTTTAGTTCTGAATGTGTTGTCTATAGGTGTTCTGACAAAGGATTGTAACCCATAAATTTAATTAATTCATTAGAGTTCTCTGTCTGTAATATTTGTACCAACATTGTGAGTTAGGTATAAGGATTACATTATAAATCGTAGGCAGAATTACGTATTATCTATTAGAATAGCTTAAATTTGATATCAACAGATTATAATACATTGTTCATGAAATTAGAATAGTCTTGTTAAATGTATTTAATGAAAATTTTTGTTTTGTCACTTGTCTACATTGTAAATGTATTATTAACATACTTTTTCTACAAATTTACAGCTGGAATTTCATAAGGACATTACACAAAAAATTGACCAGAAAAAGATAATGGGGAGAGCATTAAAACATGCCGCGGCATGCAAATGAGAGACTATAAAAAGAGACCAGATCAACAGCACATAAGGAATAGTTATACTTATAATACATAATATAATAACTTTGGTGTATATAACTTTGTTTATATTCTGTAATAAAAAAGTTGGTTATATGTATCATAGAAAGAGTTGATTATATATAAGTACATGTGAAATTTGCTCTTTAAGTTTATATTTAGAATGTGCAATGAATAAAAAAATTCAGTTTAATTTTAAAGTGCTGTTAAAATTTATATATTATTTATTTATATTTTATTCTCATGAAGTACTTTAGGTCTTATTTGTTCCAGTTTAAAAAAATGCCTCAAACCAGTTTTATGAATAATATGAACCATTGATGTATATATCTAAATAATTTGGAGATGTTTCTGAAAACTTGTATGTAGTCTTAAACAGAAAAATTTCTGCCGGTGGCTATGTTACAGAATTTTCTCGTCAGATTTTAGTAAGTGGGTGAGTAAAATGTTTAAAAAATACATACATGTATCAACGATGGAATACTTCTTGCAGAAAAATGTTAAAATATATTTAAATCTCATGAAAAGAGAATTTTAAAACTACCCTTCACGTATTTATGACGAATCTAATCAACAGATCCAAAATATTGTATTGTTAATTTCAAAGAAATCAAATCTAGTATTACATATTATAACCGAATAGATAAATGATCAGATTTTCCTTTTCATTTTTTGTATGTTAATATTTTTTTTGAATAAAAAATATTATATGGAGTGGAAATGGCAAGCAAATGTTTTGGAAATTAGGTACGTATTTGATCTATAGAAATATTTAATACCACCCTGTAATTTTTTTTATTAGCCCAATAAGTACTAAAAATGTGCTGTACATAGCCCAGCTAATGTCCTGGGGACATCAATAGTAAAGCCTACGTTGTCCTCATTTAATCCACTGATAACCTGATAATAGCCCGGCTGATGTCCTGATAACCTGACAATGTCCGGTATATAGCCAGGCGGATGTCCTCAGGACGTTAAAAGCAAAGCCCAGGCGGTTCCATTTGGATATCCCTGGTACATCCTGAGGTGATCGTGTACCTATCCAAGGATATCCTATATATCCTGAAAAGTTATCCTCAGTACGAATGTCACTGTGCTGTGTGGGTCGTAATGCCCATGGAGACTACACAGTAATGCCTTTTGAATTCTGGTAGCCTACAAACGTCAAAATTTGTAGGCAAGCGTCAACCCTTATCTGATAGCACAGCTTATAAAAATCAATGTGTCAAGTCCAACGTCGCAAAGTGTAACTTAAAACAATAAAATTTCCTAGTTTGACGAGAGTTAATGCGATACAGAACAAGAATTTAGGGTTATTCTATTGGCTGCACTTAATTATAAAATGTGACGTCATTGCAAACTTAGCGTAAATCATGCGTAAATAGACCAAATATACCTTAGCCCTTTTCTTTTATTCATGATTTCGGAATCATAACACGCTACGATCCGATAGAAACCAATCAGGTTGCTAGATTTCGGATCGTAACGCGTTATGATTCTGAAATCACGAATAAAAGAAAATAGCTCTTACTTACATGGGCGTAGCTAAGGGCGAGCACGGCACACCCCAGAGCCTTATCTTTGTCATATCGGTAAGTCGGTGACTGCGCGTTTTTTTTTAGAATCAAATTAAAACGTGTAAGCCGCTAAACATAATTTTGTTTTTTAAGGAGCCACATGCCTTTAAATTATTTTTTGATATCATTTTATTTAATATGTTATGCCTCCATATCATTTCTATAAAGATCTATTCGTCTTTAAATTTGTATATTAAAAAATAATAAAAATGTAACAATTCCTAATATTCATTTATTCATTTAATTAATTTTAATATCTCTTATATTATTTACCTATTTTTTCTATTTGAAGTGTTTATTATTTTTTAAATTAAAATTAAAAAATAGTAGCAGTGCAAGTGTGGCCCTTTTGTTTCTGAACACCCTGTTTTTGCATAACTACACTAGGTTGATTACCAAAATTTCTTTCTGAGTGAAGCAGGCAAATCGCACGCAATGGCACCTTAGTGTATGGCCAGCTGAATAAAGACGACTACAGTACTACAGAATATTGTGTCACACCCTGTTACCTTAAAAGCAGTAAAACATATTACGTAATAGACAACCTGATTTTTTGAGATCAGGGTTACAGAAGGCTAAAATGTACGTATGTTAATGTCCATATGTAGTTCTTCGTCTTTTGAGCGTATTTACCAAAATACAGAAAATATAGACAGAAAAAATTTACAGTCAATTTATGTTTCATTTATCGTTATTAACACTGATGAGCTTTCAATTATTTATTTGATTATTATTCTATACGTGTTTGTTTCTTTGCATGTAAAGACTGTCCTCGCAAATTTACACTAATTAGCAGAATGAGTAAGATGAAACCCGATACAATTATATCATATTTGTTAATGTGTGTGACGGTGGACTTGTATATATGTTTAGCGTAAATTTATTATCTAAGTATTAGAACACTGTGAACGGTTGATTATTGACACATTTCTAATCACCTACCTTCTCTTAAACGTGATTTGGTTTCGTAATTACAAACCACCACTTTTTCGGCAAGCGCAGCAGTCACTGCTGCAGAAAAAAACACGAAAATCGTTAAGGCGCCCATAGTTGGAGCCGGTTTAAGTATAACTAAAGTTTGGCTTCGGTTTATGTTCGTCTTATTTTGTGATAAGGTTATTCTTCTATATACTCCTACCAATAACACTGTAGATAGATGATGTCATGGTTCACACATATTAGAGTGTATTTCTGAATAATAGCTTTGTTTTTGTTCCAGAATCGGTGTTAGAAACTGTAATAATTGAAGAAATAAAAGAGTAGGTTTAATTTTTACACAAACAATACAATGTAATGTATAATAACATTACAACAAACATTTTTTTTAGCTGACAGATTAGTAACAAGAGAACATCAGAAAATTAGATAATAAAAAAACCTTTGAAATGGTACTCATCCCATCTAAAATAGGGAGGTTTGTAAGAAGTGGGTGGATTAAGTTTTCGTTGGAACACTCCAAATTATAAACGTTATTTAATGAGTTTTTATTATACTGAAGAGCAAAGATCCTAAAAGATATTGAATGTAAAATTTAAAACAAAGAACTTTGAATTTCAATTGTAATATTGAGTTTTAAGTGGGAAAATATAATTTCTATATATTTTTAAACTTGGAACACAAAATTGTTTTTATTTCTCACCAGAAGGGCGGGGTCGTCCTTGAAAATATTTTGCCATTCAGTGGCGGCTCCTGATATTGAGAATAGGCGAAGCATATTCATTGATTGACTAAAAAGAAAAAAAAGCTGGCGAAAATTTTTCAAATTTTCGAGGTCAAACGGTTTTAAATGAATTTGGAAATTTTTAGTTGCATTTGCAATATTACCGAAAAACTGATATTTGTATGAAGGATTTTCATTTAGATTTTATAAAAAACAGAAATATTAGTTCGGCTTGTGGACGGAACCACTTATACTCTGAATACCATTCATTCCGAAACTTTCGAACGCACACGTTATCTTTTGACTTTCTCTTTTTTCCATATCGAGAGAATAAAGCACAGGTCTCTTGCAATTTAAAAAATTTTTTTTGTCCTCAATTTTTCATCTGGAAAATGGCGTTTCCAATAAAATTCATACTGGATCATACATAGGAAACATCTCTACAAATGTTATACAAAACAAATATTAACTAAGAACCGTTATAATCGTGCACTGGGCGACGCGTATCGTATAAACTGTTAAAGATTAAAGGTTAAAGGCAGGCGATGGGCGATGCTGCTTCAATTTCTGCGTCACTCGTTCCCCCACACCGTAGTTTAATCCCGCGTTGGCCGTCTCGTTGCCATGACAACCGCCGTAAACAACGCTTCGAAGAAAAGCAGAATACAGACTGATTTCAATCTGTGTCACTTGGGTCGTATACTATACGTTGTATGATATGTACGAGGTTAATGTAGCAAGTAATTTTCTCAAAATTTTTTATTTTTTTTTCAAACTTTGAACTTATATTAAACTTATTATAAACTAATTGTAATCTCTGCAAATTGTTTTTGAGAAATTTTTAATTAAGATAATTTATTGAAGAATTTTTAAAAATAATATATTCTAATGTTTTTTTTTTATTTAAAAAAAATAGTGTATACTTGTTTTAGGGCACATTTTTGAACAATGGTAATTTTTTATAAAACTAAATATTTTTTAATCAAAGCAAATACTTTTTTCAATGACTCTCGTTATTTGGTAGAATTTAAAAGTATTTTGTATACAGTGTGTACCAGAAGTAACACAAACAATTCGTATTTTATTATGTGTTGCGTTTTCACAAAAACGCTAAAACACGTCAATTAGTAAATAGGAATTGTCATTTTGTCACGTTGCTCAAACCTTTTTTGCACTGTTTCATAAACCTATGACGTCATCGACATTTTTTTAAATAGCACTACCTAATTTTTTAAGCATAAATGGATAGTCCTTTTGAAGGGAAATACGTCGATATAGGGTTTGGCCTACTTTGACAGGAGCGAAAAAGAAGCCAATGACTGGAATGGACATGGTTTAAAATAACAACAAAAGTAGGTATCATAAACTGATGCGAGAACAGTGCTACGGCACAAATGGGTAGATGTTGTAGATGTTTTGTGTTTTGGTTGATTGTAGGTACGTTTTTATATATTGATATGTTGGCGTTTTCGGCGATATGACGAACGGCAGTGTGTGGATTTTCAGTGACAGCTAAAAATAACATTTTGCCTATCATTTTCTATCACTGTCGTTGACCTTCCAGATCTAGACAGATCTCTAACATGTCCAGCGTTTTCAAATTTGCGTACTAATGTGCATACTGTAGACGAAGTTATTGGTTGTTCTGGATACTTGGCCTTGAATAAATGACACACTTCATCATAACTACGGATCCTATCTCCGTATCCAACCATAATCAGGATTTCAATTCTTTGTTTCTCATTTAAACACAACACCATCGCAATGTAAAGTTATGTTATTTGTAACTGTCACAATGATATGAGGCACTATTGCATTCGCTAACTGTCGTCTTCAAAACAATACCTACATAGCCGCTGTGATCGGGTGTACCTACTAAATCTACATAAAAACATGTACCTACAATCAACCAAAACACATTTTTTGCTATAGCACTGTTCGCTCATAAGTTTGTGATACCTACTTTTGTTATTAATTCAAACCATGCCCATTCCAATCGTTGGCTTTTTTTCGCATCTGTCAAAGTAAAGTAGGCCAAACCCTATATCGACGCATTTCCCTTCAAAAGGGCTATCCATTTATGCTTAAAAAATTAGGTAGTGCTATTTTAAAAAAAATGTCGATGATGTCATAGGTCTATGAAAGATAGCGCAAAAAAGGTTTAACCAACGTGACAAAACGACAATTCCTATTTACTAATTGACGGGTTTTAGCGTTTTTGTGAAAACTCAACACAAAGTAAAATACGAATTTTTTTGCGTTACTTCTGGGACGCACTGTATAAAAATAAAATGCATCTGAACACAACACACAGTTTATTAAATTATTTTAAACTAAGCAAAAATTACAAACACAACTCTACTTCCATATGTACTTTTTTTAATATAAAATAAAGTTGAAAAAACATTAATCAGTTTACAGTCTGAATTTAGCAGCTCTCAAAAGTGGATATTTATCACCAGTGCAAAGGCCACGGAAGTCATCCAGTGTGACATCAACGATGGCAACTCCACCTAAACCTTTAGCCTTGACATAACTAGCTTTATGGCCTGCTGTGTCAGGGTCTTCAAAAGATACCCAGATGCCCTCTTTGTCGTCTTTGGGTAGACGGAAGGCGTATGTGCCTGGAAAAGATAGATTAAAGGGCATTAGGTAGGTCAATTTGTATGTGTATTTTTTTTGTTTATTAGAAGAGTAAATTTGCTAATGGAAACATTACTGTTGTCACACAGCCAAGATATACATATATTTTATTTATACAGGGTGTTTTCTAGGTCCATGTCAAAATTTTAGTGAAGTGTTTGTTCCACCAAAAGTTAATACCACTGATTTTCGAAATACAAATTGAAAAATATGTGATATATATTCAAAGGTCCCTGAGGTTAATGTAGATAGACGAAACTTATCTCAATAATTTATTCACGTTATTAGAGACAAAAATTCACTGAATTGTTTTACAAATACCTACGTCAACTATTGGTGGAAACTTTGGTACCATGAAACTCAGAATTTCGAAGCAACTGAATATTTTGGAAATTCGATAATTGCATTTAATTGGCAATGGTTTTTCGGTTTCCCGAGTTCCTTATTATATTTTATTACAAAGTAAGCTTACCACACAATTAAATCGATCTAAAATTAAAATCATTCACAAAATATATTTTTTTGAAATTTATACAAAACCACTAAAAGTTTAAAATAAGTATTGCCGAAGAGATTCTCAATTATCTCTCAGGAAATTATATACATTCTATAAAATGAATAGTTTGGAAGTGGTTTAATTAAGAAGAGCTTATTTCCCAATAATGTCAACATTAGGAATTAAATGCACGTATCCATTTGCCAAAATACTCTATGAAGTTGACATTCTGGAGTTCTTAGTGACAATGCTATTTGGTATCTCAGTCCCTGATTAATAGCTCGAGAGCCAGCAACCGTTTTGAGTTAGTCATTTGGCAAAAGCTGAAAATTTTTCCTACGCTTCATTTGGTATCACTAGTAAGTAAATCCACCTCCAGCTCGCACAGTTCCCGGGGGTGTAGCTGCGGCAGCCTCCCAAACACGTAAAATAATAAAATAAAAAAACTAATACCGCAAAAGCTGAGACTTTGTCGACAAGTTAATTATGTTATAAACAAAAGAAAAAACGCAATCCGCTAACTTTAGAGTGGGGGGTTATGCCTCAGCTTTTCACCTAAACAAGGCAAAAATATGCGTTAGGTAGACTGATACCGCAAAAGCTGAAATTTGGTAAAGTAATAGTCAACTTAACCAGTTATACGAAGAAATTGGTCCGCTGAAGTTTTTGTGGTGTATAAGCACATATCTAGCCTATAAATGCTCAGCTGACGAGTTGAAGGCGCAGCACATCGCTATACGCGCGGACGCGTTGCATCTTTAACTTTATCAGCTGAGCACTTTTCCCTCACTAAATATAAAGCTGAGTATTTTTTTCATTTAACTTATTAAATTAGCTATTGTATTAACAAATTTCAGCTTTTGCGGTATGAGATATCTATAATTTTTCCATTTTTTAAGTCTTAGTAGTAATTATATAAAAATATACAACTTTTTTCGAATATTTATTTACAATAAATGATTTCACGAGTTTTTCAATTTAAAGAGCTTTAATAAATAAATATTCACATTTAAATACTTATATACATAACATAA